GAAATTGTTACTTTCTACCATAGTGTACTTATTCTTAACTTCTGTACAAAGACAGCACTAACAATGTGTTATGTGATTTGGATGTGCGCAACCCGTAGCTTGTTTAATATTTAATCGAAAACAATATCAAATAACCTACTTATTTAACTGGAAAATACCAACTTATACAGCGTATCCCCATAGACATAAAATCTACCACTTACTCATACCATGGTTAATGTACAAAATAACATTTGAAAAACGAACTTCTAAAATCGTTTCATGGTTGAATTTTATATCAAAATAAAATTCTTACTGTTACGTACCAATAACTTTATAGTTTCTTAATTTAACGACGGCAATCTATGGTAATTAAAAAGCTCTCCTCGTCCAAAACTTCGAACGCGTCATCGCATACTAAAATAGCCGACGCGTCTAACGCAGGGACACGTTTTGCCATCCGGTGACATCCACCTTTCTTTCGGCCTCGGCACCAGCGATACATATTTCTGCTGCTAAGTGTGTCAAGGTACCACGACGTGCGGTGCACAACGCTAATTAGAAGTAGAGTTCCAATGCCCGTTTTTTATGTGAGCAAGTTTGAAACACATTTTGGGGACAGGCCACGGACGTGGTGTACGGAATTTGACTCTGCTTCAATTGCGACCTGCCCTCGGTGTAGGCTTGACCTTTGTTTAACAGATTTCATATACATGTGTCCGCAACTATTAAATTTAGCGTGTTTATATATTATTCTGTATAGTTTGTTACTTGCAAAATTATATATAATTAATTATGAACCTTTTATATATGATAGATTTATTGATTATAAATTAAAATTTATCTGTTTATTAAGTCTGCTGTCTTAGAAAAGTATCTCGTGTTCAAACGTCTCTAAGTCAGAACTTTACTGGATTTTACATAATTTTATACACCATAATTTATGTATTATTTTTCTTTTACTTAATTAAAACACCCTCACATGATTATCTATTCAGTTGCAAAACTAGTGTTCAGCAATTCGCACTACAACTTATCGTAAATTAGAATACCTCTTCAGAAGCTTCAACATTTCATTATTAATGTAATAGTATGGTGAACTTTGACTGAACATAATTATATTAGAAATTAATATAGTCGTCTGTTCCATTGCAAATTAGCGCACCACAAACCATAACGGAGATTTTGTCTATTTTTATGCGGATCCGTGGCATCGTTGGAGCTCGCGCCTAGTTTTCCTTGGAAGGTTGTTTCTACGTCTCGTTCGCCGGATCGGGCCATTCTATTTATAATTGTCGCATTAGTCATTAGCGCTATTCTCGCAAGCTCTTCGAATTTTTCTACAACAAAGAGTCCTTCATGCAATAATACTAATAATTAAAATATCTTTATTCACATAGACGCTTGCGCGTTCTTATGAAACGTCAGAATTTTACAAGAAATTAACACGTTCGTAAGTTACCACCGGTTCGGAAAGCAGTTTCTGTTGAGAAGAAACCGGCAAGAAACTCAACAGTTGCTCTTTTTTAAAAAAATCAGTTTACAATGTAATAGTACAGGTACAATAGTCTTGTTTTAGCCTACGTGAGTATCAACAGTATTAACCCCACACATTGGCGTCGTCAAGATATTCGGCAATAGTATAATAGGCTTTAGCCATAAGTTTACTTTTAATTTTTCGTTTAAATTCTATATAACATGCAAACTGTAGAGGTCCGTTTTAATAGTAGCCAGAACCCATAAAATTTCATCAAACTTAAAAAACCGGTCAAGTGCGAGTCGAACTCGCGCACGATGGATTCCGTGCCATCATGTATAAAAAGGACAATAAATTATGTCTTTTGTATGGGGGCCACATTTAATAAATTTTTCTTTCTGTTTATAAGTACATATTTATTGTTATAGCAGCAACAGAAATACATTATCTATGAAAATTTCAACTGTCTAACTTATCCAGCCGGACAGCGGAGTCTTGGTAATAGGGTCCCGTTTTACCCTTTGGGTACGGAACCCTAAAAATTATCTATCTCAAAATATACATCATAGGAACTGTTTCTACAATAGGAGTGATTCCGCAAGATATAATGAAAATCCTATCCGAATATTGTCACATGCCGAGATTTGACGAGAACTTAGGAAAAGTGACAATTCTTGACGCGGCCGTTTACGCGGAGCAACGACGTTTTCCTTTAACGATTTCGGTTGTTTGAATTCTCTTCGATAACACCAAGCTCCATAAATAGCGTTGTTCCGTTGTTGAGCGAAAATAGGCTTAAGTGACACGCTTTGTGACGTCCACGGATAGCAAGATTATGTAGCTTTCAGATAAAATTAAACGCGCTCTGACGGATTACGTTAACAGCGTAACGTGTACACTAGATAAACGGAAATTTAATACAATATTATAACCTTAATCGGATTTATTGTATAATATAACATTAACGTTAATCTATCTTCTCTGCATCACGTTTTTGAATAAAACTAAACAAAACACCATCGCATCTGCTTCTTGCTTTAGTATTCATAATTAAGATAAATGACAAATACATAAGAAAATGCCTTAGTCACACTATTTTTCAATATATGTATAAACTTAAGGTTATAATCTGGAAAACTTTACCATAATATTCAAGAATATTAATATAATATAATTCATATATAAAAGAATTAAAATAAATGAATAAATATTTCAGGCCATATTTACACAACGTTATCCTGTCCCAAACTAAGCAAGGCTTTTACTATAGAAACTAGGTAATTAATAAACAAACTTAAGCGTACTTTATATATAGCGTTATAATGCGTTATAAAGCGTTATAAAATACGTATCATTCATATATAAACACCCAGAAACTAGAAAAAAAAAACTATGCTCATCACACAATATTTTCCAGTAGTGGGGATCGAAACCACACTCTGGCTTAGACAGATTCACTATCCACTTTGGCAATTGGGTCGTCAATTGCGGTCAATTTAAAAATATGTAAACCCTATCGGTTTACATAAGATACTATTTCAAGCAAGATTATTTTTTTCTATGGTTTGCTCATATTAAAAATGGGATTATGTATTATGTTCTCGTCCTGATGAAATAATTTGATGTTGCATTGCCCTGTGTAAGGGTATTTTTATGAGATAGTTGTCCTTATTTCTTAGGTACTTGTACTTGGTACTATAACACTACCTATTAAAAAGAGTCATTTGCTTCGTTTCTTGGAAAAAGACAAGTATGTTAAACTGCGTGGAAAATCCATCTATTTTTTTTTTAATGATTAAATCGTCAATGTTATTCGATGCAGATTGTATTTAGCGGAAAATATTAACAGCGTACGTCTACGCTCCATCTTAAGTCATTCTCTCGTGTTAAATTAAAATGGTTTTATTTTGTCTACTTATACGAATTCAAAAAACGTTCCCGTTTGATTTCTGTCACGTTTTGCTCTACATACATTTCAGGCTCTTGTAGGAAAATTTACGAAATGTTGAGTTTACGACTCGAAATACTGTTTAATGACCGTTAGTCGTCGAATAATTGGACTCGAAACAGCGTTAAGGACTGCCAGGAATTTACAGGCTCACTAACCTAATGTTTCTGATACAAGCTTGCGAGAAACATAACGTCCAATGCTTTCTAACCCTTGGGCTTCAGTCCAATATCGAAGCAAAATGGGTCTAGGTCGATATAGAAACGGTCTCTAAGGACGGGCAGTCCTTAGAGACCGTTTCTATATCGCCTAGTAATGACGTGTACACGTAATGTCATATATTCTCATGTTCTACAACCGTTTATTGGTACATACACACGGGCATATTATCTTATCGATAATCGATAAATTCTCAATCTAAAACATCGGATACCAGGGCTGCGGTTTGAAGAAGTCGACGAAAATAATTCCCCGTCGAAGATAACTCTCTTGATTGACAGTTTACTTGAAAGTACATAGTAATATCGAACATTCAACAACATAAGTGTGAAACCGTTGAATGTTGTTCCTTTTTCAAGTTCAAATGTAATACTTATTTGCTAGATTTAAACAGTGCAGTACCTGTAGTAAAGTCCGACCCGAATGAATTAATATCTTTAAACGTTAATATATGTATATCATGTATTATAATATTCTAATTGCACTGCCCAAAATTGTCTACACGGGCATTTGTCTTGTATTGACCTTATCTTAACACTTAGAAAGGTATCATGCTCACGTTTGATGTGGTACTGATTGGGTGGCCTTAACCAAATTATTTTCGCCTGATCCCACGCACACTGCTCGTTAGGTCTGTGAACGTTTAGACAAATTTAGATCAGCTGTAGTTTTAGTTACAACTTCTACAAAACACAACAATGCAATTTCATTGAGATATAAATTGTTCTATTTATATTAATGTGATTTACTTATATCTATCGAAGTAATAATAAATACAAATATTTATCGATAACGTGTCGATAAGCACTGAGGACTGGTTACATTAGGTGAAGCGTTTAAGTCGCAACGAGTTCTACATTTATCGTTTCAAGCCGACCAGCTGATTATAATGGTTTCAATCAGTTAGTACTGCTTCGTGTATCAAACACGACTTGTCTTATTAACACTGAAATATTTTTATATCAATTATTCGATGTATCACGAATCGATTCGATAGTCGCAAAAGTATCAACGCACCTTGTTAAATGAAACAATAGGCTGTTTATACGTCATGTCCCTCTTGGTAGTAGGGGCACGACATTCTTACTACTTAGGCGGTATATATTCTGGACTGTAAGCGACGAAATTTCACAACCTCATTCCATGAAATCGTTTGAGAAGCAGACTTATACGATGTTTTATCTGTCCCTATCGATACAGCGCGTTGATAGCAAAAACGTACTAATATTTCATCGGACGGTACTTTGTGAGTACATTGCGAGATTCATTGCGAGATTTGTGTTTTGCGCAATATAAATCAGACCAAGTGGCTGTTAGTGAATTGTTGTGACTGGTTATTAATTTATGTGACTAAAATAATTAAAGAAAGTGAACAAAATGGCGCACACACACACGACCCACTGCAAGATAGACCATTACTACAAATTGGAGAAGAAATATATGGACATGAAACGGCTGGTGATGGAGAAGACGGAGGAACTGAAACGCAGGGACAAAATAATAGCCCTGCTGGAGAACGAAATAGACGAGAGGGATGCTAAAATAAGGTATCTTAAGAATGAAATAGACAAATACAGACAAGTGGTGAAACCGTTAACAAGGCAGATAATAGACAGCCATAAGAATGGCGTGGAAAATGAGGAGGATTGCTTCGTGATGAAGACGCCGGGGTTGGAAAACACGAGAATCCTCCCGTTAGGCGAGCAAAGGTTAAAGCGGACGGCCATATCGGCCGAGCCACTATCGGCGCTGAGTCAGGAGCATGATATGAAACTGGTGAAGATACCAAAGACCCATAAGTAAGTAACTGTCTAAGAAGAGTATCATAAGTTTTCAAGTTATTTTAATGATTTCATAGGACATTCATAGCAGTACACAGCTTTCTTTTGGGATCAATTAAAAATAAATTCTATTATAAACAACCCTTTGATAACGAACGGAATTAAGAAAATTGTAAACGCCCTAAAACTTGTTGCTTAGCTTGGTTAAATGTCTAAGATAACTATAAGCAGTTCACTCTTAAAGAATAAAATAACCATCTGTTGTCGCATTGATTTCGTTCCTGCGATTTAGCTCGACACGTTGACATTTGACTGATGTTAACAGATTAAACGTTCCATTGGACATAACTGAATCGATACCAGTGTATGTCGGCGCTAATTAAGTAAGAACTGACTCAGACTGTGTACAGGTGCGCACGAACGTAATTCATCAATCAGCTCGATTGAATTTCTTCCATACACTCGCTATGGTGCGGTGCTCTCGAGGTCGACGTGTGTTAGGTGGTGCGCCTTCGCACGCACCCATTTGGTATAATTATGTTCGAACTTTATTATCTGTCCTCGCCTTTGGCAGTACCACGACACGCGGAGGGTTATGCCTTTGATTCTTATTAATGGCGTCCGTGGCGTTCGCTTTGTTCGATTTATCGTGAATAGCATTTGGATATTGTCGGTTATCGAACGGTCTAACTTATGTGCACATGTTGAATTTTACAAGTTATACACAATCTATATATAAGATGTAATAATAAACATGGAACATAGATAACATGTTAAGAAAAATATCGCATCGTGAAATATATTTTTAACTCTCTCGTCCGTATTACAAATAAATATAATGCAACTTATGTATTACATGCAAAAAAAATAATTGCGGTGACTGTGCAAAAAGGAAAATATCTTTACATAAAGTTTCAAAAATAATCATAATAATAAGAAATATATGATCATGTACATACAGTTATTCAAGTCGTTACAAGAAATAAAATGATGTATTTATCTGGACACTGACGTGTTTCGTATTTAAGTGACCACAGACGTTCTGGTTCAGGCTGCTTCAGATGTATACACGTCGCCTAGCATTTGTCGCTAATTGCCTTACAAATATTAAGTTCTACTGAATTGAGGCGCGTATTAATTACATGTTTTTGCATGAATGCAAATAAATCTAGCAAAGCAGGGTTTTTATCAAAAGAAAATGCCATCTTATATTGTTCTTAATAACAAGATATGTTTTTTGTAACATCATCCATATGTTTTTTGTAATTTTTAATGTCTCAAGTTTGCAAGCGATGCTTGTTTATCTACTCCGGTCACCGATTTATTTATTAAAACCGCTTGATTATATTCATTGTGCGAAAGAAACATTACTCGACAATAGTTTTTTATAGGTTTCAGAAGCTTCAGGTATCAAAGAACCGTCGTCTAGACTGTCTGACGGTCTGTCCAAATAGGAGGACACTTTTTTGACAAGTTTTAAGTGACGCGATTAAGTTTTAATCTAATCTGGCGGTATATTTGTCTAGGGGCGGCGTCATATCAAATCGATTAGGTCATAACTGTATTTTGCCATCATTGAGAAGGGGGCTTTGTATAAAGAAGGACAATTATTGGCTCCGACGGATGACGATATTTGATTATGTTTAATTCTAAAATCGTTAAGAATTGGATTATCATAATGATGAATTGTCAAAAAGCGTTTAATGATTCGCAGTGTTTACTGGTTAATATAATAATTGTAAAAATAAATAAATGCAAGTACGTATAAATAAAACTTATTTCATTTTGTAGAGATTTGGTTCGTTCAAACTAATCAAGAGTGATCATTTTTTGTCATTGCGTTTTAGATACATAAATATCACTTAATCCTAAGAGCCGCAAAAATAACGGATCGCCACAATTGGAATAGATACTTAAATAACTAAAATTGATCTGTGTAGCTGTAGTATGTTTTATATGTATTAGTAACAAATAAAAAATACATACACGATTTGCATACTATTTTAATTTAATTTAATAAAAAATACGATAAATTTAATAACAACTCTTAACTTATGAAAACCAAAAATAAACTTCGCAGTTAATTAAAAAAAAAATAGTTTGTGTTTCCTTCACCAACCTGTATAACTTCATTAAGACGATGTTGCATGCTGTAAACTAAATTTTAATACGATTTTAACTCTGAAGATATTCCAGCCCACACCATTCCATAATCCTTGATCCTTCACCGAATGGTACCTTTACTCCGAAACACGCTTGCTGATATCGTCTACCTGGTTTTCTATACCCTCTTCGCCGCCCAAAGAATGAAGATAAAAATATCTGAACACTTTGGAAAACATAACCCTAACCCAGCAATCTTCATCTGTCCATTAGACTTGCTATCGAGCAGACCTACCCTTTCGATGTTCTCTGTGAGTTTTGGGGCCATTACCTGGCTTAGAAGGTCGTGTAGAATCGTGTCAGACCTCACAATGTGAGGTGTGTGTAAATTTCTTGAAGCCTATTTCCTACAATTTCTTGTACCATAATCAGCATAGTAAAGGCCCATTTACACGATGCCATTTTCTTGTACATGCAAGAGCAATAATTGAATGCAATAAATTGCGCGCAATAATTGGTTAGACCATTTGTTGTTTAGACCATGCAACTCATTTATTGCTTCAATTTAATTGTATACAACAGGCAAGAAACTGGCACCGTGTAAATGGGCCTTAATACTCATCTATATTCTTAGTTGAACGATAAGTGTGGTGTGATGTGTGATGCTGCACCGATTAGTGTGGAAAATCTAATAAATTGTGTATAATGATAGCTCGGCTTATAATAAAAGCAAATTAATGTTGTTGTTATAAACTATAGCATGTACAAATGAACCCTTTTTTTTTAGATTTATAAGTATCAGATAGTGTACTTATAACGAGCAATCTTTGACCCGATAATTATGCGGGCCTGTGTAGGTTGTGCTTTTCCTTTTTTTGCTATTAAAGCTATTTTCACGAATATAAATTGCATACCAATGGTTTAGGCTCATTGTTCGTCGTTAGAGCATGACGTCGAACAGCCTGGGGTCCCGCCGGATAACACTACACCCACAGCTAGTGTAACAATAGTTCGCCCTCGCCTCCGAGCACGGCGAGAAAAACACAACGCGTACACAAGGTACACCCGCGTTCCAGGGCAGTTCTCACTGCCCCCAGCCACCGATTAGCTAAAAACACAGTCGACGGCCATCGGGGTCTCAGTCCGCACCGCAACTTCGATGGCCCTTAGATGACATGCCGTAGTTAAACGCACGCATGAGCACATGCGCGGCCCTACCCACAGCGGAAGGCCCAAACCCGTGGGTTCTGGCTAGCCCACCGGTTCTGCGTCAGATGAAGCTTTAATAGTCTCGGGACTGAAAGCAAAAACTTCAGTTAATACAAGATACAAGACGTCGAATATGATGTCTCATTTTCAAAATAATTTTCCTATCATAACTATTGGTGGAACGTTGGACATAGAATCCTACGAGATGTTTGTCTATATTTGAAGACAGGTTTTTTTTTTCCTTTTAAAATTCTATTCTTAGACTTCGTATCTAAATACATGTTAAGTATTTACTATAAATCAACTGTCACGTAATAAAGAATACTCCGAACTGCGTGTAATTATTTATAATACGTGACATATCGTTTACATAAAAAATTCCATTTAAAAAATATTATTTTGATATAAAGGTTCAATGTCGTGCATTCAGGTATGGATGGCGAAATATTTAAGTAGGTAATGAAAATTGATTTCTGTGTTGTTGTTAAAAGCTGTTTTTATAGTTCAAATAGCATTGACGTTTTTGGAATAATTCGATTTAAATTCAATACCATAAATTAAACACGATACAAGTATAATTTTTAACAAAAAAAAAAACCGACTTCAATCAGAAAATTAATTAAAAACATTGTTAATGCCTATAATATTCAATGACAGCCCTCGATTTCTCTGGGATGCGATCATCAGATCCGGGTTTCCTTATCATGGTACCACCCTTGGGACATCTCCTTTCCGACAAAAAAGAATCATCAAAATCGGTTCACAAACGACGAAGTTACCCGCGAACACACATAAAAAAAAATAAAAATCTATACGGTCGAATTGAGATACCTCCTCCTTTTTTGAAGTCGGTTAAAAATAAAAAGAAGACAATTTCATCTATATTTAAAACTAGTAAAGGTTATTTCTTTTCGACTCTGTATTAAATAACTGTGGTAGGGCCACGCAACAATTTTCTCTGTTCCACGATTGGGCAGGTCCATCCGGGCAAGTAAAACGACCTCACAGAAGACCAGCGCGAAGTGTAAGTGATATACTTCTGCCTTTCGTCTAGTCAGCGAGCTAGCCAGTCACTTTATTGTAAGGTGGCAACGCTTCTGCAACCCTACGGGTGTTGTAATTGTCCATTGGTGGTGGTTATCACTTAACATCAGGTGAACCGCCAGCTCGCTTGCCGCCTTCTCGCATAAAAAATGTGAAGTAATATTATTTTTTCGAAGCAGTTAAACGTAGGCCACGTATTTGAATAATGTTGCCAAGCATTAGAATGTTAGCAAGCTTCAATGAATTATTCGCAATTTGTCCAGTTCACAATTCGTGACTGATTCGAAAACATTTATATGCGTCAGTCATTTATCAAAAACTTTAACTGCAAATCTTTAAAATTATATCTGTAATAACTTAGTTTCGGAGATCTCGCTTTAACTTTTGCACAGTTGTGCTCAAAATACAAAATGAAAATCACAATTAAAAAAAATGCTTATTTACGCAATGAAGATAATAGATTCAAATTCTAATCAAGGGATCATAATCGACACAAAATAATGATTAAAAAAAAATTTGGTTCACAATTCCGTTGCTGCAAGCAGCGTATCGTACAGAAAATAAGTATAGAACGAATAAAGACGCTCTGTACCTATAATAAATTCGTCACATCCCATTACCTAAATAAATGTTGATGTTAGATTATTTCGAAATCGTTTGAAATGATTTTTTTATTCAAAAATACGGATTCAGACGTAAGAAGGTACTGGATTAATCGTATCAATCGTTTGAGAGAAGTAACGATGATCGGCAATTTTGTATTGCATCTTTTATCACTTCGCCAATGTAAAAGTACCGATATTTCCTAAGAGGCAATTCTAAATAAATGCCATTAATACAAAGTAGCTGCATGATTGATGGCATTTATTCGACTCGGCATCATGCGAATTAAAAGAATTTTAATTGGCCTTCTAACGGAGATATGTTCGTACAGTCAAGAACGCGCCATGCAGTGGAAGCATGCTAATAGCAAAGCCTAGTCTATTCAATATTAATGTACATGGTTTGCACTTAGCCAGTTTACTTTTTAAATCGTTACTTTGAAAATCTACCGAGTGTCGTGACAGTAAAGAATGTCACGTGGTTTTGTTAACAAACAATATTAGAATTATCTTCTTATTTAAACATGCTTATTCATTGTTAAAATTACAAAAAATAAGGATTAATTACTTATTTATTAATTTCATGTTAAAGATAAATATTGTCCTTTGAAGTCAGATTGTTAATAATAAAACCAATGCAATGAATAATAAGCTTCGTGCTTATTTTATGTCATATATGACATTTCCAATACAACAATGTTAGGTTGTAGCAATATTTACTATAAAGTTACCACTTCATGTATAAAACTGACTTCTTATGGTATATACGATTATATTCATGTTTTAATTACACATACAAATTAATAGATTTTTCTTTTACATCTGATTAAATTTGTTTAAATTCAACAACAATCGGATTACAATAATTTACAAGTTGTCAGTTTAGTCATTTAAATAAAAACCAATAATAGAAATGCTACTACAATATTTTGAAAACTATCTATTTCTTGTTATAGGTCCCGGGAACTTATTAAGAGTGCCATCTTGGACAACGACTTCATGAAGAATCTTGAGATGACGCAGATCCGCGAAATCGTGGACTGCATGTATCCGGTAGAATATGCTGCAGGCAGTGTTATAATCAAAGAAGGCGATGTTGGCAGTATTGTCTATGTTATGGAAGGTAATATCAAATTCATTATTTTAATCTCAAATGCGCGAAAAAATTATTGTTCTATTTCTGATAAACATTTGAGTGCAGCGCCATCTAGCGGTGAGTAGAAAAAAGAACGTATTTAAAGATGGTTAAATGGTTTGAAAAATTTTCCCTAGATGGCGCACACGCGGATATTTTCCAAAAAAAAGTTTTGGAAATAATAAATTGCAATAAAGATTCTCAAGATTTCTACGGATATTCTTAAATTATTTTCGCTTAATTATCCCCTCGTCTAAAACCAAAATATCAAAACTATCCAGAATCAAAAAAAAAAATCAACCTTTCATGATTTCTATCGACAAATAGATTTTATCTCTATTTATAGCGATTTCAGTGCCTTTACGCTAATCATAGTTACTTGTTCATATTAAAGCACTTTTCATAATATGTCACCTTAAGAGTGTCGGTAAGCGAGTGTTAGTAAGCTAAGAGCGAGTAGTAACTTTCCCGCCTTTGAGAAAGCGGAAAACCAGACTAACTCGATTCTTGATTTTCCTTCAACTAAGCGTTGGGTGCTACCATAGTGTTCAATTATATTTTATTTTAAAGACGTTTCACACTGACTAAATAATCTTAACTATTACAAAAATCCGTAAAATAAATTTAAAGCGAACCATAACATTTTTTGATAAATATAATTATTTTTTTTGCCGAATTAATTTTTATTCGGATTCTTTATGATTTCATCTCATTAAATTTCGTAAAATAATTATTTTAATCCATAAAATATTGAAAAAAACCAGATTTTTCTTATTGAAAAATTTAGTTACTTCTATTGATTGTACGCTATATAACTGTAACGTAGTAGTGATAAAACAAAGAAAAAATACGTTTAACTGGAAGTTTAACCCAGATTAGCGACTAAATTTCATAACGCAAACACACACAAAGCTACATTAGCAAAGAAGGAAAAGCGGTCGCAGTGAAACAGTTTGGTAACTAACACCTTTTATTTACGTAATCTTGACCTTTGACGCCTCACGTTTCCAGAAATCCAAAGTTCGGACACGATTGTACGGTTTATGTTAGGGCAAATAAGTTGCGTAAAATGTTATGATTTCTTATCGCGATAAAATGCGTGACGTTTATTTATTACAATTTAATGTATTTCGCTTATGTTTTTTTTGAAAACTAATTCTAAAATGTAAAATTATTGATTGTTTATTACATTTTATTATATTGCATTTTTAATTATTTTTTTATAGTAACATATTTTTTTATGAAAGAAAATGGTAAGCCAGCTGTCGGTTCACCTGATGTTAAGTGATAAGCACCGGCCATGGACATCCTTGTCATAATGTCGTATCCGGTTAGCTCACTCACCGGACGAAACGCAGGAGTATGTTCAGTTCACGCCGGTCTTCTGTGAGGTCGTGGTACTTACCTGGACGGACCTGCCCATTTGTGCGTACAGCGAAGACTGTTGAGAGACGCTACCATAGTTAAAATAATCGTACATTTGTGCGGCGCATTGTTGTATTTTACTTAATATTGTAATTCCCTGATATGAATAAAGTATGTATTGGCGTAATCATTTTAACTCTCTACGATACTATTAGGATTGGATAATGAGAGAAAGAATCGGTTTTGTGTATAACTCCGAAAATGGCCATACCCAAATTCCTTTAGTTACTTTAGACGTCAATTTCTGTTTGTTCAGGCATTAGGTTCATTAGAGGCTTCCTTTATTACTATTATCAATGGTGTGTGGGCACAAGGATTGTAATTGCTTCACCGGACCTCATACCTATTGTCGTAACATTCCATTGGATCCGTGTTTCACTCAAAACCATTTAAAAAATTACACACAAATTTTAATAGAATTCATCACTTATATGTTCTAAATGATTCTGATATTTTGAGAAAATCATTACCAGACTGCCGAAGGACGGTAATGTTTGTCGAGCATTTGTTTCTTTGTATTCATGTACAGTCTGTATGAGAAAAGGTTCGAAAACAAGTCTATATTTGCTTGCAACAGGGTATTTATCAGTCATGCCAACATTTCCTTTCAAACGAAACAGAATATAGCATTGACGTTTGCAACAAGCTAATTGACTGACAGGTCAACTAATAAAGATAGTAAGATGTAGTGAATATTATTGGGTCATCGGGAAAACTAGGAAACTAAAAACTTATCTTGAAATGTCAATCGTTTATTATATTGAGATATTGACGTGTTCATGTCTATAAATATGAAATATATTTTACATTGTTCTTATGAAAACATATAATAATTAGGAATAGTAATTACGGTAAAATTTACTAAAAAAAACAAAATTGCATTGAAAACTAATATCTCCACCAATTGCATCTAACACCAGATCGCTTTCGCGTCGATCCAACAAGGCATGCGTATGTCTTTTCGTCTGAAACCCTTCGGCAATGCTTATGGCAGTTGCAATTCTCGTTTTTTTTATGGACAAAAGGGAGCAAACGAGGAGGAAGCTCACCTGATGGTAAGTGATCAGCGCCGTCCATGAACACCTGCAGCACTAGAGGGCTTACAAATGGGTTGCCGGCCTTTGAGGAAAGAGTATGCTCTCTTCCTGAGGTTCCCAGGTCGTGACGGTTCGGAAAGACCGCCGGCGGCAGCTGGTTCCACAGAAAATGCCTTGAAAATGGCGAAATTAGTTATTATTTCTCCACCGATGCACCATCAAACCCCACAGATTTTCAATGGGTCTTATATCCGTTTGTTATGCAGGCGCAGGACACTGCGTTAGGGATACCGTTGTCTTGGACATAATTTAACTCTGATAGTTCATCAGCTGAAAATAACTTACGAACGCTTGGAAGCATACTGTCCTTCAGAATCTTTACGTAGTTTGCCGCGTTTGTACTTGGAGGTCAACAACCTCGCCTGCACCATGTTGGCAGATATGCGACCAGAACCAAAATTTGATACACAGTGGTTAATAGATCGTTCCGTTTATTCATCACAGGTGTAGTCTCACATCGTGGTGTGATTAACAACTTTTCGTTAGTAAAAATAGTGTCTCCAATCGAAATTTGAATCTTTTTGGGCAAAATTTAAGCGTTTCCCTTTATTGGCACTAGTTAAAGCCAGTGCACTAGTTAAAGTTTTAATTATTTCGTTTTCAAGTTTTACAAGCGTTTAATTTCCTTTGTGCGATTATTTGGTCCATGACTTTACTTTTCTGAATACTTGAACCCCTGTTAGATTCTACTTGAACCTAACAGGGGTTCGGAAAAATAATGTCATTTGAGAAGCAATAATTATTTTCGGGTCTTATTATGAATATTTGTTATCTGAATAATTACAAACAACTTCCTTGTAGCGACACACGTAAAACTGCGTCTCGTAAGCGCAAAAAGTGTCTTTACCTCTGTCATAACATTACTCAATTGCAAAAAACCTTTCTAATAGCGGCAGATACCGGTCCGGCCTTGACGGAAGGCCTTGCCGGCTCCAATCGCCAAGCGGACACTCGGCTCTTTGTCGTTAATCTATTTGCATTCCGTTGCCGGAAGTGAAAGTGGGCTAGGCTACCGATTCTTATTGGGCATCATCCGCTGCCCAATTTTGTTTGCACTCAAGAATACATCGGTCGCTGGGTCGTTAGGCAATGTCGGTGGTTGTTTTTTATGTAAAGAGGCGAGGGATCACATGCTCACGTGATTTTAAGTCATCGCCCATAGACATCCATGATCAATGCCAGTAGATGCTAGGCCTTAGTTAACTTATTCGCTAGACGCAACGCTAAGATACGTAATGAGTAATGCTTCTGTGTACAAACTGGTTCGTGAATACATATTTAAGACATCTGTAGTATACGTTTATTAAAGACATCTGTTACGTATAACCTATTATTTATAAAAGGAAGCATTAATTTTTATTTATACTAAGTATTTATGTATAATAAGTTTCTAATAAGTTTGTACGAAAGTGCAATTAAGTTTGTAAATACATTATTATATTTATTGTTTATTTTAAAAATAATTTTCATTATAAAAAAATTTTAAAAATAAATAAATAATGTATTTACAAACTTATTATACAATAAATATATAATAATAAAATATATATATAACATTAGACTACTTTTGTATCCCTTGCTGCAACTAAAATAACCTCTCACCACACCTTTAGTTGACTTTTAGACTTTCCTTTGGGCATTAAGTACGCTCTCTTTTACCTTTTTTATTCAAAGCTTGCAATAAAAGTTTAAAAGTAAAGTAAAGTAACAGCCTATACATCTCCCACTGCTGGGCAAAGGCCTCCTCTATACAGAGGGTATCAGGGCAGGGGTAGTCCACCGTGATAGCTCAGTGTCCGGGCGTTCGCCTTTAATTCAATATACTCGAGCAACCTGAGTTCGTCCCCGGTGCCGGCACCAATGAAGTTTTTAACTTTAAGTGCTAACTTATCACGTGCTCCGCGGTGAAGGAAAACATCGTTAGGAAACCTGCATATTTTCGAAATAATAACAAAAAAAAAATATTTCCAAGATATGTGAAGTCCGCCAATAAAAGTTTAATGAAAAATAAATATAGGTACGGGACGTCTAGCTTAAGCTGTTGTTGATAGATCAACGGCTAAAAAAAAAGAAAAATTTAAAGACTACAATTCCAAACGCAATAGTTACGATGATGGCTTGAGATTTTAATTAACCGCAAATCCAATATGACTCGGCATTTCGAAACTGAACATGCAGTGCGTGACCCGTATTAATTATGTATGTAGTTTGTAACTTGAGTAAGACCTATTTATTATGCGTGTACCGATGTGATTTACTTACGATGATATGTTAAGTCTTTCATACTCTTACAGTATAAGCAGCGGACCGTTTACATTTATTGAAACAAAATATTAAAGAAAATCTTATGGAGTTTTTATTTTATAATAAATAGTTACTGCAGTTTATAATTAGTAGATAAAACTGTCGAAAAAAATGCCAAGAACCTGCACATTTCCGATCACGTGTCCTTACTATTGGCCACTAAGCTAAGCGGTCAACATCCGTGGAAATTTCGACGTCTGATATCTGCTTCGATTTTTTGGCATTTTAGCTATACTAGGCGCCATCTAATGTGCTTCCTTTACAGCAAACACATTTCTCAAATGACATTTTTGTAATGAATACAACGACGATGTCGTCAGAACAGAGATGTCTCTGGTTGCCTAAACTAGAAATGTCGTAGTGAAAACTTGAAAGTTAAATTTCGTTGTATCTACAT